AAAGTCTCTGTGGTTTCAGATGCTGAGTTATCTGGAGGTTGTGTCGCAGGGGCTGCTAGGGACGTAAAGAAAACTAAACTAAAACTCATGGAACATTTTTTTTGCCTATAGTACAAGTATAAGGAAGGCTATCGCAAGCAGCTTGGCCACCATATCGGAGCCCGGAACATAGAGGATGATCCAAAGATGATGTGGTCGATGCACGTAGCCAAGATCCAGAGTGACAGGGAGTACAAGAAAGCTTTTGAGAAGACAAAGACACACTTCAGTAGCCCAGTGGACATGCTGGGAGTTGTGTTGGCCAAGAAATGTCAGGAGCTGGTCAGTGACATTGATTACCGCCACTATCTGCATCAGTGGACCTGCCTGCCAGACCAGAATGATGTTATTCATGCTAAGAAAGCCTATGATCTACAGAGTGATGTGAGTACTCACTGATAGGCATTGGAGTTCTAAAGTGTATGTAATTTCCTTGGAATATAAAATATAGAAGATGCTTGAACTGTCTTTTTCATTTAGCATTTTTTCACATTGTGTTTTTCTTTACCAGTTCGAAGCAAGTTTATGAGATTTTTAGGAGTGAATGATTCTGTGTGTAAGGAAGGTTGAGTATTATGAAGGTTTATATATATCTAATCAGTTAGCCAAACAGTAGAATTAGCTGCCTATAGTCCTTCTTAATAGACAATCTTAGCAGCTTTATATGCAGATTAACTGCGTATAAAGAGGAAATTGCCTTGTATGACTTTTTTTTTTTTTTAGTTGCATGACTTTAGTGGTGAGAATTCCTTTCTTCTATCTTAGAGAAAATGGTTTAAATTTGACCTGCTTTTCTTAGTGGGTGACCATTTGTTTGTTGTGAACAAATGTTACAGGAAAAGTTTATACTGACTTTCAGGATTTCGTTTTAATCCGATTCCTCTTTGACCATTCCCCAACATGTTGTTGGGTGACTGATACCTCTCAAAGACAGATACGAGGTCTGAATCTAGGTTGCTAACAGAGATTGGTTTGCAGATTGAACTAGGAGGAGAGCAACTTACAAAAAGTAAGCATTAGTTGCATGATATATATGAAATGTTTAACTGCCAATATTAATGAGAAAGTGTCTTTGTATTCTGTAATAGAATTGCTACAAGTCTGACCTTGAATGGTTACGAGGCATTGGTTGGGTCCCAATTGGTTCCTTGGATGTTGAAAAAGCCAAGAAGGCAGGAGAGATCTTGAGTGATAAAATATACCGTCAGCATCCGGACACAATCAAGTTTACTAGTGTCACCGATTCTCTGCTGATGGTCTTAGCCAAGCAAAATGCAGAAACGATGAATAAGGTATGTCTTGATTTGATCCGGTAACATGTCAGCAGTCTCCACCTAAACCCTGGAGACAGGACTAGAAATACAGATGTGTGGTTGCTGTGTGAGATTTCAGCACAATGAGGCTTTAAAAGTGTAAGTTTCATTCTTGGTAATCAACAGGTAACTTATTTTCAGCAAGTGCTAATTTAATAGTATCTTCCAAGTTACCAATTTAAATTGGAATTATCAGTTGTGAAGCTTTCCACATAGTCTACTGTGTATCTAGTAATGTCTTACCAAACTTCCATCTAATTTTTAAGATAGCAATTTGTCTAATAAATCTAATAATTTATCAAGTTTATCTAGTAATCTACTAATTAACAAACTACTTATTTTAAGGCAGTCTTTGAAGTATCTGTATTTTAAACAATTCAGCATAGTACTTAAAATATAAGAATTCTTCTGAATCTGTAGCCCTGACCTCCATCCTATTTATGTCAATAAAGCCATTTCCTCTTTCAAACAGGTCTTGTTCTTAGCGTTTGGATCTCTGTGTGTATGATTAGCGTTCTGTGCCTTTTTTCTAAGCATTTTTTAAAAAAGAATTCTTTCTAGCTTACCAATTCTTGACCTGAACATTAAGTATCTAGAGGAGTGACTATAAATCTCATTGCTATATAAGGAATAAGTATTTTTTAGACTTGGAGTACAGATCTGTAATTCTTCTTATGTTTTAGGAGATCTCCAAGTAGTCACTGTTTTATTTCCCTTTTTAATATACCTTATTTCTCCTGCAGCGTTTATATACTGAGGCCTGGGATAAAGACAAGACACAAATCCACATCATGCCTGACACACCTGAAATCACATTGGCAAAACAGAACATGCAAAACTACAGTATGGTGAGTGTGTTAGCTCTCGAAATGTAACTGGTCTGTTTCATGGCTGGATCATCAATATTCTGATAAACCTTATACAGAAGATAGCATCAGTTTCTTTAAGTAACCCCCAATATTTATACTCAAAATTGTGACTTTACAAACATCATTTGTGTATTTGTACAGTAGTGCATACATAAAACAGTAAACACTATTGAGAATTAATTCCATGAGAAGTTGCATGTCTCCAGTGAATTTTTGGGAGTTGTTTCTGCCAGCATGCATACTGTTGGGAAGGCAAAAAATTAACTCCAACACTGGAAATACCAAAAAGGTAATTTCCAGTACAATTCTGAAGAGCAGTGATCCCAGTGTTCAAAGTTAGTTTAGGCAAATAAATTCATGTCAGTAAAAGGTGACTTTAAAAAGTAAGTTTTACTCCACTTGTATAGAAGAATACTTTATCTCTAGAATTGTAGTCAACATTATGTTATTTAAAGTATCGAAAGAAAAGAATTGTTAGCAAATGTATTTAGCAGAGATCTTCCTTTGATATGAATTTGTATCAGCTAATGATCTGGGGCCTTGAGTTAAGAAAGTTAGATAAAGCTAGGTTAGAATAAATGTTAACACAATTTCTAAAATCTACTCACAAGCAGTTTGTTTTGTATAGCATGTAATATATGGAACTTACATGAATCCCATTGTTTCATTCTTCATCTAGAAACTCTACAAACAGGCCATGGAAGAAGCAAAAAAGAAAGGCTATGATTTGAGAAGTGATGCTATCCCCATTCAGGCTGCCAAAGCATCCAGGCAAATTGCCAGTGATGTAAGAAACTACTTTTTTGATTCTTTGTGTGCTGACATCTGATCTCTGCAACCTGAAAGTTGTCAGCTGGATTCTGTAAAAGGCATTTAAATTAAACTGTGATCTCAAATAATGGATTTTTGGAAGCAAATTATTATGTATGTTTAAAGACTTAATTGTAAAAATTAAATATTGAGAAGTTATAAGGACAATATATGCTATCATGTTAATTTTATAGCTCATAAACCTGTATCTTTAATTAAATACTACCAGTAAATATATTATTATATTTAATAAGGAGAGGATTATTTCTTACTAATATTAGTGAAGAGCATTTTTTCAAAAAAAACTTACTTAAAAATCTCTACTTAACCTTCTGACTCAAACCTCAAAAGTTCAATGTGAGAATCTATGTTATTAGCCCCAAAATTGCTTTGACAGTTTGGGTTTTTTGACTGTAGGTTATAGAGAAATTTGGAGATTTTATTATTAGAAATATTTAATGTGAGTACCTGATATTTAGAGGTGATATAGAAATACAATATCTTGATTTATATTTCAGTACACCTACAAAGAAGGCTATCGCAAGCAGCTTGGCCACCACATAGGGGCCCGGAACATAGAGGATGATCCAAAGATGATGTGGTCGATGCACGTAGCCAAGATCCAGAGTGACAGGGAGTACAAGAAAGCTTTTGAGAAGACAAAGACACACTTCAGTAGCCCAGTGGACATGCTGGGAGTCGTGTTGGCCAAGAAATGTCAGGAGTTGGTCAGTGACATTGATTACCGCCACTATCTGCATCAGTGGACTTGCCTGCCAGACCAGAATGATGTTATCCATGCTAAGAAAGCCTATGATCTGCAGAGTGACGTAAGCTCTTTTTGATTTAATTTTTGGTGAGAAATGTATTTGATATTTTACATAGGTGGACCAGGCCATCACATACCAATGGGGTAGAACCAAATTTTCAAGACTTATTTTTAAGTTTCATGGCTAATTGAAACTCAAATCTCCAATAGGATATGTTAATATAATTGATATTTAAATTAAATTCTGGAATTCCAGAATTTGGGCTATTTATCATTTGCCATTCTGTGAAACTTGGATAATGTTTTCACTCTTAATGTAGAAGAAATGCAGTTAATTTTTCTAAAATTTTCTCCATGGTTTGGGATTTATTTGAAATAAAAGTTGATAGTGCGGTTACTTAACTGTGAAAAGATGACCCATGTAAATTGCATTATTATTATCAGAATAACCTGTGCATATTTTTTTGTAACAGAACTGCTACAAGTCTGACCTTGAATGGTTACGAGGCATTGGTTGGGTCCCAATTGGTTCCTTGGATGTTGAAAAAGCCAAGAAGGCTGGAGAGATCTTGAGTGATAAAATATACCGTCAGCCTCCAGACACAATCAAGTTTACTAGCGTCACTGATTCTCTACAGATGGTCTTAGCCAAGCAAAATGCGGAGACAATGAATAAGGTGAGTCTTGATTTGGTTCGGTAACACAACAGCAGTCTCCACCTAAACCCTGGAGACAGGACTAGAAAATTACCTAATGGAAGCCTCAACTTTGTCATGGTATACTGTATTTCACATTTTAACCTTTTCTTTGACATGTCTATGCAGTGAGCAGTAACAAATCTTTGGTTTATTCATTATTCTTAAGTAATGTGGCAGTTTTCTAAGTGTTGTTAAATTTTCTCAGATAAATTATCTTTTTAATAATGATATCTCTACCTGATTAAATACATAACTGTTCATCCATGCTGTATTTCCTGTAAATTTACCTAGTATCCTCTATGTTTTACCTGATTCATGAGATATTAGCTTCTTTTGGAATGCAATATTAACCTCTTCCTATATTCTTTCTTAGCATTTATACACCGAAGCATGGAATAAAGATAAGACCATGGTTCATGTCATGCCTGACACACCAGAAATCCTGCTAGCTAAACAAAACCAATTAAATTACAGTCAGGTGAGTAAAACTGAAGAGTTGAGAGAATTAAGGGATTTCTGACAGGTACAATTTTGTCATCTCTGACTTTTAATTAATACTATAATATTGTCAAGTTGTTTAGCTTCACAAATTGCCAGCTCCACTGCTAAAATGAGAGCTATTCTTTCACTAGAATTTACCTCCTGGTTATCTAATTGGACTTTTAATATATATTATCTGCCACAAATGAGAAATCATTTCTATAGCAAGGTATGGAAATAAATAATTTAACTTTTAGAATATTCCTTTCTTTGCCTTCCCTAAATGTTTTCCAGTTTCCAAGAGTCTACAAGATCTTTGAAATCTGCATTTTTTTATTTTCTAGAGAAGATAGAGCTGTGTACAGATATTTGTCTGAACACTAACAACATTGCTTAGGGACTTAATCTGTTTTATTACATAGATGTGCCTAACTAAAGTGTAATTTTGTTTTTGAAATAAAAATGTGAATATTTTTCTCACAGAAAATGTACAAACTAGCTTTGGAGGAATCGAAGAAGAAGGGTCATGATTTGCGTTTTGATGCCATTCCTATTCAAGCTGCCAGAGCATCCAGAGAGATTGCCAGTGATGTAAGCAGTTTTTTTATCATGTCTGTATAGATTTGGTAACGGAAAAGAATCAGAATGTTTGTTCCATTGTCTATTAATCACAGAATCACAGAATCATCAGGGT